CACTCAGGGCACAGGCCAGGTCCCCAGTGGGGTCCCTGTGAGAGACAACCATACATTGATGTTTCTCTCCCTCTCTTTAAATAAATAACATATTTTTTTAAAGGAGGGTGGGAATGTGAGGAAGGGGACATTTGCAATTTTGTGTCTTTGATATTGGGCAGCCATCATGGAAGGCTTTACTAAGAAGACATTTTTAAGCAGAGACTGAGGGAAGTGGAGGAGCAAACCAGGGTCCTAGCGAGGGGAAGAGTGTTCGAGAGAGAGAGCAGCGCGGGCAAAGGCTGGCGCCGAGGCTGCCTGGCGGCCTGGAGAGCAGCACGGAGGCAGGGTGGCTGAGGCGGAGGGATGTTCTGTGTGTGTGTGTGTGTGTGTGTGTGTGTGTACACACACACACAGAAGAGGATGCAAATCTGGTGTGATGTTAACATCTGGGGAATTTGGGCAAAGGGAATGAAGGAATTCTTTGTACTACTTTTGCAACGTTTCTCAGTAAGTCTGAAATATCAAAATAAAAAGTTAGAAGAAAACCAGGGTATTACAAAGAAAGTGGAAAGACAAGATCAAATTGGGAGAAAATATTTGCGAGACATAACCAACAAAGGATTACCATCTAGAATATGCAAAGAACCATGATGAGTTCTCAAGAGAAAGAAAGAAGAAAGAAAGAAGAAAGAAAGAAAGAAAGAAAGAAAGAAAGAAAGAAAGAAGAGAAAGAAGAGAAGAGAAGAGAAGAGAAGAGAAAATTTGCGCACGCCCTGCACAGGAATGGCCGGAATGCCGGGGAAAGATGCCTGGCCTCACCAGGAAGCAGGGAAAAGGCAAGCCCAGCCCACGACGAAAGTCTGCTTCATTCTCATCGGGCGAGTGAGTTGGTGCGTCGGCCAGACTGTTGGTGGCAAGTGTGCGGAGCAATGGGAGCGCTGGTCCATGGCAGACGGGGCTGTGGGCGGTGCCACCACTTTGGAAAACGGTTTGGCATTGTCTAGACGGGCTGACACCTCATGGCCCTTGTGCCCCACTGCTGGGCACGAGCAAGCCCAGTGCTGGGTGTCTGTAGACCCTGGAAAGACTACCCACAGCTCCAGGCAGTCACAGCCACCTGAACAGGAACCTGGGAGCCTCCTCTGCCGCCACCTTCCTTGGAGGACAACCCAGAATCATGGAAATGCAGGTGGGGAGACTAAGGCATGGAGATGGAAAGGGACTGCTTAAAACACCACATGGGCAGAGGAAGGGGGCAGGAGAAAGGGAAAGCGAGGAGGGGAGGGGAGAAAACTCTCCTGGTCTCACCTGGCAGACTGGTAGCCAGAGCTGAGAAGTCCCCCTTGTGCCCCTTCCCTCCCAGCCACCACCGGGCACCTGGAGCTTGGGGAGGGGATTCTGAGGGGACCCCCCCTTCCCTTTGCCCAGAAAGAGGCTCCTGTGAGAGCAGCAAAGGAGAAGCTGCTCAGTGATACATCGCTCCTCCTCCTCCAGAGCATCCCGGGCCCTCCAAGAACCTGGGGAGCATCGGTCACTTTTCTCCCTGGAAAAGGCTCCAGCAGGACAGGTTTTGCAAATATGCAGGAAGGTGAGGGGCCTCTGAGGCCCCACGGTGAAACAGAACCCCTCCCAGCTCTAGGATGTCACTTGGCCAGCAAAGGCCGCCAAAGCCACAGCCTGGGGGCCCCCTGGCTGCACAAAAGCCCAGTAGATTTGACATTAAGTTGTCGTTGTTTGGGATCAGGCTCAACTGTTGGGCGAGGGGCCCTCCTGCACCAGTGTGCGTGAACGGACGGGAAGCAGCGGAGGTTTTCTCTCTCCCCTGCCTGGGACAGACCGCCTAGTTCAGGCTGCTGAAAGGGAGCGCCTCTCGGGCGGGCGGACGGAGCCTTCGGGATTGCCCAAGCACACCCTCCTGTCCATGAGCAGAAGCACAGCCAAGCAGGGTGAAACTTTGAGACATCCTGGCCTCTGCAATGAGAGCCTAGAGACGGGTGCCCCCCCCACCCATGGGCGCCAAACCTGCCCAGGGCAGGCTGGGGTCACCTGTGACTCTCAGATGCCAGGGCCTTCTTAGCCAACGTGTCTGTGGGGCAACCTGTGTCACGTTGCTGGTTCTGGAACATTAGGTGTGTGTCCCCATGGGACCGATGGGGACACAACCCCTTTCTCCACCCCACTTGGGCAAGGGCTCAGCGTGCCAGTATCTCTGCCCGCCTGCTGACCACCCCGTTAGAGCAAGAGCTGAGCTGAAGGCCAAGGAGGGCAGAGGCTTGCCCAAGGCCCTGCCGGGCTTCTTTCTTCACAATCCTCTGGCCCTTGTGAAAGCGTTTTGCCTCATACGCCCTCTCAGAGAGGCGCGGGAGGTTTGGGGATGTTCCGGAGGAGCCTCGGGTCTCGGCTGCCGGTGCTGCTGGCTGAGCGCGGTGTGGTGGGGTGGAGCTGCTCACCCGAAGAGGAGCTCTGGCCTCTGGCACGTGGAGGCTTTTCCCCAGTGTCCACTTCCTGCTCCCTGTGTCCTCCGGCTGTCCTCTAGAGCCTCCCCCTGCCCCTGCCCCCCGGCCCCTACCGCAGGCCACAGGGTCAAGTCACATTCAAGGTGTATCCTGGAGAAACCCACTCCAGGAACCCTGCCCTCGGCCTCCACAGCTCAGCTCCTCAGCACCTGCAGAGCGGGGCAAAACCCGCAGGCCCCCCCCACTGATGGCAGAGCCGCGTGGGGAGTGCCACTACCCTCGGCTGGTAGCCCGGCCCCTCCCGGCCCCTCCCAGCCCCTGCACTGAACCAGCCCTGTGCCAGGCCCAGTTCTTGACCTCCCAGTGCCTGAGTGCCCTCGTCTGCAAAACCGGGTTGGTGGCCGGCCCCTGCTCGGAGCCCGGAGGGGCACGCACTCCGAGCTTGCTAACGGTCTCAGCTGCACCCTGCGCCTCACTGCCCTAAAAGTCACCACACCTGGGGCTTCCTCTGCCCCGCGTGCTGGCCCAGGTCCTCCACGCGCACTGGCTGTAATGCTCCCCTCCGTGACCAGGTCGGAGTTGTTATCTCTGCTTTACAGGTGAGCACACTGAATCCCACCCCAGAGAGGCTGACTGAGAGCCAGCTGGGCAGTGGCAGAGGCAGGATTTGAACCTGGGTCTATGGGATCATTCCACTGAGGCAGGGCTCTCCATTGTACCCTGAAGCTGCGTTGGGTCAATGATCAAGCACGACTTGTTGGAGGATTTTTGTGCAGCCATAATAGAGCTTGACCTTTTGAACTCGTACTCTGTAAGGCCTACCTATCCAAAATAAAACAGCCCTGGCTGGTGTGGCTCAGTGGATTGAGTGCCAGACTGTGAGCCAAACGGTCGCCGGTTTAATTCCCAGTGAGGGCACACGCCTGGGTTGTGGGCCAGGTCCCCAGTAGGGGGCGCGTGAGAGGCAACCACACACTGATGTTTCTCTCCCTCTCTTTCTCCCTCCCTTCTCCTCCCCCCTTCCCCTCTGAAAATAAATAAATAAAATCTTTTTAAAAAAAGAATTGCTTAAAAATAGAGCCACCCACCTCACTTTCTGCAACTTCAGAAGCCCTCAGGCCAGACTACGACCCCAAACTGCGGACAAACTTCGGACATGTCGTCCAGTCTGATGGTTTGATGGGATCACAGAGACCACATGGTCTGTCCCCACCGTTTCCCATTGGAGGTCTGAACCCTACGGTGGTTGCAACATCATTTGCAAGTAACAGAAAAGTCTACTCAAACTGGCTTAAACGTAACCTCCAGACGTCCCCACCTGCGGCCAAGGGGTGACCCAGCGGCTCAGTGACGTCGTGAGCATCTCTTGCTCTCTCCTCTCTGCCTTCCGTGGTGCTCTAAGGGGCCCGGGTCACACCCCAAGACGTGCTCTTTGTTGCCTCGGTCACGCTTCCTTGGTCACTTCCAGGAGGGAAGAAAATGCCTGGCATTCCCACCAAAAGTTGTGAGACGTATCCTAAGTGGACCCCACCGGTGGGCTTCACCGGGAACACCCTCTCCTCCTCCCCAGCTTCTGAGTCTTCTCCACCCGAACAGGGGCCCCAAGGCCAAGGGCGGGCTGGGAGGTCAACAGACAGAACCCCAGAAGTGAGGGAGCCGAGGGCTATGCTGGCTGTTGGAAGAGCCCCTTCCAAGCTGCTGCTGGGGCTGCCCGTCCCAGAAGCTGGGACCCGAACCCCAGCCTGCCGGGGACTGCCCTGTCTGCAGGTAGCAGTGCCACAGGGGCAGTGCGGTGCTCCCGGGAGGGGCGCTGCCGTCACAGCTGTGAGGGGCTGTGCGCTGCGGCTTGTCGGGCCTTAGGATGTATTTCCAAGTCAGGCATCCGGAGTTTTAAAGGTTGACGACCAATTTTTTAAAACGTGTGTAACAGGTAAGTAACCTGGCAGGTGTGGCTCAGTGGACTGAGTGCTGGCCTGTGAACCAGGTCGCTGGTTCAATTCCCGGCCAGGTCCCCAGTTGGGCGTGTGCGAGAGGTAACTGGCGGAAGTTTCTCTCCCTTTCCCTCCCTCCCTTCTCCCCTCTCTGTTTAGAGTGGAGGTACCACCATGGGTGCCCACCCGGACACAGGCCCCACCCAGATTGTGCACTCAGCGGAGGAATTGTTACCTACGGAACTCATATTCTGGAAGGTTTGGGATCAAACCAGAACAGCCAGCCAGAGACGGCACAGTGTTCAGGACTGTCAGAGCTGGAGGCGGTACAGGTGGGGACACCGAGGCCCAGAAGGAAGATACCTGGCACCACGCAGGCCTCCTGCCCCAGCAGCTCAGGACTCCCCCCTCACTCCTAGGCCCTGACCTGTTGCCCAAACCTGCTTGCTTTTTAGCCAATAGCATTTCGGAACATTGGCCAACAGTGTATGCCAGGCAAAGGAAAGGAAAGGAGAGGAGAGGCCCCTTTCAGGAAGGCACCAGCCCCATATGTCGCCAGAAGCCCTTGGGCAAGGCGGTCCAAGCAGCACCTAAAAGGGACAGCAAGTGGCTGTGGGTCAGAGGAGGGACCATGGCAGGGGCCTGGAGGGCACTCCTGCTGATGGCGGGTGTGGCAGTGATGGTCTGTGCGGCCCAGCGCCAGAGCTATGAGGAGATTGTCACCCAGGCCTTGCAGGTCTTCAACTACGGACGACTAGGTAAACCCCTGTTCGGCTTGCTGGCAGTCAACCCGCAGCCTGGCACGGTGAGTGTCCCCCACCCCAGGCCGGGGGAGCTGGGAGCACCTGCCTGCAGCAGCCTGCGGGGTGGCAGGCAGGACAGAATGCCGGGCGTGGCCCCAGGTGCTTGGGTAACTCCAGCTCTTGTTGTTGTTATTGTTGTAATGTTGCTCCCACCGGAAGGTAGGGAAAGAGCGTCATCTCAGGCCCGGCCGCTGGCTGGCCGGGACACTGGGGGCTCCTCCCGGGTGTGAAGCGTGGAGTCGGGGCATCTGGCCTGCACGCAGGCCCCGGGTTGAAGGTGTGCGCAGCCCCGTTACGGAGGGTGCTGGTCTCACCTGAGCCTCCGCAGGGGTTCCCGTGCCCCTTCCGGCCCAGTCACCTCTCTGGCAGCAAGCTGAGCAGGCAAGGCCGGCATTCTCGTGCTTGCTTCACAAAGGGGACACGGAGGGGCAAAGACAAGCAGTGGCGGCTCCTCCAGGTCGACAGAGATGAAGTGGCATCCCTCGGCTGGTTTCCGAGCCCCTGGAGTCTCTGCTGAGGCCACTCGAGCACCCCCCTGCCCCGACCTCCCCCCTCCCCCGGTTTTGGTGGAAAGCGCCGACCTCGGCTCAGCCCCTTCCAGCCCGTAACTGTGACCTCTCTAGCCTGTGCCCTCTTGTCTGTAAAAGGGAGATGACCAGTTTTCTCTCGCTCCTGCAGAACTCCACCACCTTGACGCTGCTCAGCTTCAGGGTTAAAGAGACGGTGTGCGTCTCGCGGCGAAGGCAGAGACGGCCGCCGCAGGAGTGCACCTTCAGGGAAGGCGGGGTGAGTCCCGCAGCCTGGGGGCCGGGGGCCTCTGGTCTCCGCACCTCAAGGGGGCTGCGTGTTGGCCCGCACGCGCCTCACCCGGCCGGGAGAGGTTTCACTCTAGCGGCCTTTTCCCAAAGCAGTCTTTCCCTTATGGCTGTCTCTTGCTATAAATTATTCTCGGTCCTGATTATAAAAAGCCACACATGCTAAAAAGTACTAAATAGAAACAGAACGAAAGTGGGACTAGCATGCACGTGAGATAACTGCTTTTATAAAATGAGAAAAAAAAATAACATTGTATGGTAGCAAATGGACAAATCCCGAAGAAGCAAAATGAAACAAGGTAAACATCTCCCACCGCCCCACCACCCCAACTGCCCAGGGACGGTCCCCATCCGTCACCATCCGTGGGTGTGTCAGGCCTCTTCTGTGTCCTTTGAGGTGCACACCCGTTTTAAGCAAGCAGGGCTCCCGGGGGGCGGCAAATTTAAGGATGTTTATTCCCACCGAGTAACTGACAAGAACTGTGCCCCTCCAGCGGGCGGTGCCTTTCCCTGGCCCTGGGGTAACCTCAGCTTGCAGCTCTGCTTCGGGAGGGTGGGGGATGTGCCGGCGGGGGGCGGGGGGCGCTAGGCGGGGTCAGCCGGGCCTCTTCCAGCTCCTGTGCTCCCTGCCCCGCAGGAGGAGAGGGACTGCAGCGGCTCCTTCTTCAGGCTGAGGCGCTTCCGCATCCTCACGGTCGACTGCACTCCGGTCGAAAGGCGCCAGGAGGAGGTGAGCCATTGGCTTGGACGTGTGGGGCCTCAGTTTCCTCATCGGAGGAATGGGGCCAATCAAGCCCTCCTCAGTACAGGTTGTCAGGAGGGATTCTGAGGAATGGCGGGTGGTTTGGCAGGAGGGGAGGCGGGGAAAGACTGGCAGTGGGGGCGGGGGGGGGCTGGGAGGGGCCCTCTGCCGTCTCAGGCAGGACACTGGCTCTGCTCTGAGGCACAAGACTCCTTGGCAACTGATCCTCCTCCCATCCCACGTTTGGGAAAACGGAAAGCAGAGGTGGAAGGAGGCCTCCTGGCCAGAGGGTGGAACAGCCAGTGGGGAAGTGAGTCCCAGAGTCCAGGCCTGTCGGAGCCTCTGGGCTCCGAGGGGGTGGGCCCGACGGGGGGCCACCTCCAGCCCCAGCCCCAGCCCCATCGTCACTGCCCGGGCCTCAGTCTCTTCTTCACCCCGGCCTGGAGAGAGGGGCCGCGGGCAGGACCGGGGAGGGGTGTGACGGATCAGTGAGGGTGACGGGAGCGACTGCCCGGCGTGACTTCTGCAGGTCTCCCGGAGGAAGCGGTCTGCCGAGTCCCCTGGGGCAGCCACCCCGGATTTTGACCGCTCCAAGCTGCCTCCTGCGGTCAGGGACATGTATGATAAAGCCAAGTACGACATCATCACCAACATCCTGAGGAATTTCTAGGGCTGGCTGGAGAAGGAAGGGGAGGCCCTGCATCCCCACCACAACCTCCTCTTCCTCCCTGCTCACATCCTCTGCCACCCGCAGCACCCCCTTTCCTGCATGGGCTGAGCCCATCCACATTTTTCTGCTTCTGCACACCTGCTTCCCTCCACCTGGGCTTCTGGCCTATCCTGGGTCTGTAAATCCTACTCATCCTTCGAGGCACAGGTCCAAAGTCACCTCCTCCAGGAAGCCCCCCCTGCTCTCCCCTAGGCAAAAGTGTTCACCCCTTATCAGAGCATTCAGGATCCTCAAACCACGTGGCCAGACGGCACTGTGTGTTCTCCCAGCTGTGCCCTCCAGAGCCAGCTGCGGGTGGCAGTGGAAGGAGTTTATCAGTGAGGTGCTCCTGGGAGGGGCGTTTCTTGTGTGCAGGACCCTGAGTACCCCTGCTCCCTGCCCCTTCACGGAGACAATAAATGTCCCTTCACATCTGCAGGGGGTCCTGCATCCAAGGGGGTCAGCCCATCCTTGGGGAGAGGCTCAATAAAATATTTCTGAAATAAGTGATTATGTGAGCCCTGGCTGGTGTGGCTCAGTGGTTTGAGCGCCAGCCTGCAAACCAGAAGACTGCAGGTTCGATTCCCAGTCAGGGCGCATGCCTGGGTTGCGGGCCAGGTCCTCAGTTGGGGGTGAATGAGAGGAAACCACACATTGATGTTTCTCTCCCTTTCTTCCTCCCTCCCTCTCTCCCCTTCCCCTCTAAAAATAAATAAATAAAATCCAAAAAAAAAAAAAAAAAGAACCAAGGAGAGCTCTGCTTGGGAGGGAGGGGCTACCTGCCCCAGGCCCTCCATCACTGGGCACCACACATCTTACTCATCTCTTCGGGGGCCTGTGTCTGAAGTGCCCCCTAAACCACCCCAACAGACTAGGGCCCGAGGCCCTGGGGAGCCTCTGGAGGGGCCTGATTGACAGCCTTGGACTCTCACGTCTGCTGACCCGCAGACCGTGGGCTGCAGGGTGTGCGCAGGCGGACTCGGGAGACCATCAGGAGGCTGGGGGTGGGGGTGGGGGGGTCCAGGCACGCAGGGATGTGCTGTGGGTGTGCGCCGGTGCAGAAGCAGAGGACAGAACTGGACCAGAAGTAGAATCAACACGAGCAGGTCATGGCCGGCCCGACGAAGAAGATGAGGATGAACGGCTCTCGTCCCTTTCCTCCTCCCAAACTGGCCCCCGGGGTCCTGAGTGAGCGACTGGGAAGACAGAAGAGGTGCGCTGCGAGGGTGGGCCAAGCTGGGGGGTGGCCGTGTTCGGGCTTCCACGCTGGACCCGGTCGTACTGGGACGCACCCGGGTGGCCGTGCGCGTCTGTCTGTGCCGGAGCAGAGGTAAGACTCGGTCCGCAGGCCCTGCCCGCCTGCGGCGGAGGGAGCACCCGCTAGGGAGGGGCGTGGGCTGCAGTCAGAGCTCAGCACTGAGCGCCGAGGCCGCTCGTGGTTGGAAGTTAGGAGGAGGAGCAGGGGGCATACCAGAGTGACGGAGATGAATTTTGGGACAAGGAGAGGTGAGCGTGCCCAGATGGGAGAGCAAGGGCAAATGAGGGCCCTGTAAGGAAGGAAACAGCTGTTTTCTCTGGAAAAATAAAATAAAATAAAATAAAAAGAGCTGTTACTGCTTTGTAGGCACCTGTCCTTTCTCCCACAGTCGAGCCCAAAGATGACCCGGCTGCTGGCTTCGGCACAGAAGTGCCCGCTTCTGTGACCTGCACGTGGTGTCGTCTCTGCCCCGCGCTGCCCGGGCTGCTTCTCCCGAGTCCGTCGCAGTGCCGGGCAGCAGACCTCCACACACGAGGCGTGCAGGCTGGATGATCAGCTGCGTCCAAGGTCAAAGACACTGCTCCCCTCAGGTGAACTTGACAGCGTGGAGATCTGGTCTCACCTCTGGACAGCACTACCAGAAAGTTGAGCCAGGTCAGTTAGTCCTCCTGAGGCGATTTCTTTACGTTAACGTGAGCCGTGCTGCCTGCGCTGAGACAGGGGACTCAGGGGACTCCTGAGAAGAGCAGGTGACAGTCGGGTTTGTGTGTCAAACATGTGCAGGTGGGGACGATGTAGGACTATCATGCCCTTCCCAAAACTGATCAAAGAAAGTTGCCATCCAAATGTGATCATTACCCAAACGGATGAACCTGACCATAGGCTAACTTGGGGAAAAGTGTTTTTTTTTTAAATATATTTTATTGAATATGCTATTACAGCTGTCCCATTACCCCTCTCCATCCCCCTCCACCCTGCACACCCTCCCCCACCCACATTCCCCCCTCTAGTTCATGTCCATGTATCATAATTTCTTTGGCTTCTACCTTTCCCATACTACTCTTGCCCTCCCCCTGTCTATCTTCTACCTACCACTCTATGCTACTTATTCTCTGTACCTTTTCCCCCTCTCTCCTCCTCCCACTCCCTGTTACTAACCCTCCATGTGATCTCCATTTCTGTGATTCTGTTCCTGCTCTAGTCGTTTGCTTAGTTTGTTTTTGGTTTAGGTGTGGTTGTTAATAATTGTGAGTTTGCTGTCATTTTACTATACATGTTTTTTATCTTCTTTTTCTTAGGTGAGTCCCTTTAACATTTCATATAATTAAGGGCTTTAACTTGACCTTATCTGAGAAGCACTTTATCTGCCCTTCCATGCTAAATGAAAGCTTTGCAGGATAGAGCAATCTTGGATGTAGGTCCTTGCCTTTCATGACTTGGAATACTTCTTTCCAGCCCTTTCTTGCCTGTAAGGTCTCTTTTGAGAAATCAGCTGACAGTCTGATGAGAACTCCTTTGTAGATTACTGTCTCTTTATCTCTTGCTGCTTCTAGGATTCTCTCCTTCATTTTTACCTTGGCTAATGTAATTATGATGTGCCTTGGTGTGTGGTTCCTTGGGTCCAACTTCTTTGGGACTCTCTGAGCTTCCTGGACTTCCTGGAAGTCTATTTCCTTTGCCAGGATGGGGAAGTTCTCCTTTATTCTTTGTTCAAATAACTTTTCCACTTGTTGCTCTTCCTCTTCCCCTTCTGGTACCCCTGTAATTCGGATGCTGGAACATTTAAAGATGTCCCGGAGGTTCCTAAGCCTCTCTTCATTTTTTTTTTGAATTCTTTTTTTTTAAAAGATTTATTTATTTATTTTTAGGGAAGGGAGGGAGGGAGAGAGAGAGAAACATCAATGTGTGGTTGCTGGGGGCCGTGGCCTGCAACCCAGGCATGTACCCTGACTGGGAATTGAACCTGCGATGCTTTGGCTCGCAGCCCATGCTCAATCCACTGAGCCACGCCAGCCAGGGCATGAATTCTTATTTTTTCATTCTTTTCTGTGTGCTTGTTTCTTTCTTCCTTCTGGTCCACTCCATTGATGTGAGACCCAGCTTTCTTTCCATCACTACTGGTTCCCTGTGCATTTTTCTTCATTTCAGTTATTGTAGCCTTCATTTTTTAATCTAATTTGTGACCAAAATCAACCAATTCTGTGAGCATCCTGATCACCAGTGCTTTGAACTGTGCAATCAACCAATTCTGTGAGCATCCTGATCACCAGTGCTTTGAACTGTGCATCTGATAGGTTGGCTATCTCTCGGTCATTTAAAAAGATGGGTTTTGGGGCTTTCATTTGTTCTTCTGTTTGAGCCATCTCTCTCTCTCTCTCTCTTTGGTTGGGTCGCGCCTGTTACGTATGAGGGGCGGAGCCTTAGGTGTTCTCCAGGGTGGGGCAACCCAGTCGCTGGGTTGTGACGCTGTATGTGGGGACGGGGTCCGAGAGGGAACCATGGCACTTGCTCTGCTCTCTGCTGATTTCAGTCCCTTCTGCCTCTTCCCCCAAGCAAACTGGACCTTTCTGGTGCCGATTCCCATGTGGGTGGGTTTGTGCACCCCGTGGGCCTTTTCAACGACCTCTCCTGTGAGGCTGGGAGTCTCTCCCTGCACCTCAACCACCACAGGTGTTTTCAATCAGTGCCCCGAGGCTCTATTTCCCAGCGCTGGGATCCTGGGTTGCGCACAGTGCCTTGCTTCACAATCGCCGCCTCGCTGGGTCTGCTGGTTGCCACCCCTCGGCTGGGGTTTGCCAGCCGCCGCTTGTGCGCCCATGGTCTGCTCGCTGCGGTTTTATACACCCAGTCCCTACGCTCTTTGTGCACTGTGACCCCTCCCCACCACTCCTCCTGGTCTGGATGAACGTGTCTATTTTAACTTCTTGGTTGTCCGACTTCCATACAGTTCAATTTCTGTTAGTTCTGGTTGTTATTGTTTCTAAATTGTTGTCCCTATCTTGGTTGTGCGTGGAGGCACAGTGTGTCTACCTATGCCTCCATGTTGGCCGGAAGTCCCCAAATGCAACTCGAATGAAGCGTTTGGTAATACCCATAACCCAGTGACCAGGATGTGACCCCAGGAAGGCAGGTCTGGACTGCGGCCGTATTTGGAGAAGTGGAGACAAAACCCAGGAGCCTGGTTCTCACAGACGCTTGCCCACACCAGCGTCCCCAAGCTGCTCCTCGGCCCCAGGGGATCGGCTCGGGGGACGCGTCTCCAACGAGTCCGTGGTTGAAGGGTTCCCCAGTGAGGCAGGGGAGGGTAAAGGGGGAACTCGGGGTGATGGAAGGAGGCTTGACTTCAGGTGGTGGACACACAATGTACAGACCATGTGTTACAGACCTGTACCCCTGACACCCATATAATTTCATTACCCAACATCACCCCAATAAATTCAATACAAATTAAATTAAAAACAAAAAAAGAAGAAGTCCTAGTGACTTCTGTGCACTGAAGCTGAGCACCTCTGGTCTGGAGTGAGAGGAGCTGGGCCAGGTTCCGCCTCCAGCAGGCAGCAGCCACAGGGCACGGCGGGGGGGTGGGGGGGTGGGGGGGCTGCGGCGTTTGATGGCAGAGTGAAGAAAGAAAGGGCACACCCAGGAGAAGCGGGGCCTGGACGGGAGCGCACGCGCCCCGCGCTGCTGAAGTCTCCCGCATGCTCCTCGCCGGAGCCCGTGAGTTCCTGGAACTCACACGCATGCTGCCGAGGACGGCTTCCGCTGTCCCTGGCTCTCCCCTTGTCCTCACAGGCACGTCCTCGCTGCGTCCACTGTGTTTTCTCCACCAAATTACAATGCGAATATGGTTTACTTCTAACAGGTACTTAAAAAATAAATCAGGAAAGGGCAAGGAGATATTATAAGTGTTCTCTTTATTTCTCTTTGGTTTCTTAACACAAAAGACATGCGTTCTATAAATTAAAGGAAGTAAGATCTTCTGGGAAACAGACGGGGGAAGGAGCGGAAGTTCTACCTACTCACATCTCTGCGGCCAAGGCAAAGGGCTGGTCTTCAGCTCCACCTTGGCTCGAGCTCAGATGAACCCATGCGTTACCTAAGGACAGAGGAGGTCACAGTCCTCTCTCAGAGCTGGGCTAGGCCAGAGCCCACCGTAGCATCATCCCGCCTCCTCGTCATATACCCTCTCACAGCATCCACGGGTGACGTGTCTCCTTCTCATGGCGCTACAGGACAGGCTGCGACACCCAAGGGCCACGCCGGCCGTCTGCAAACGGCCACCAGCCTGAGCACTGACGGTGGCGAGTGTGCGAGTGCCGTCTGTGCGCTTGTGCTCAGAGCCCAGGCCAGGCGCCGGCTTCATCGCCCTCGGAAACGCTCTCGGGTGCAGCGGCGTGACTTGCACACCTCGGGGCGGGAGTGGGCTTCGGAAGGCCGCCCCAGGAGCGGCAGGTCACGGGACAAGGACCCACCACCCCGCTGGCAGAATCTGGGCCAGCACCCCAGGGGCCCGGTGAGGCCCACTCACACCTTCCCAGTCTGGGCCCAGTCCGTGCGGCCTCAGGTTCACAGAAGACGGGGAACTGCAATGAGGCGAGCCCCGGCGCACCGCCCTCTGCGGGGAACGCAGAGGCCAGCCTCTGCTGAGCCCACCTCTGCAGGCGAACTGAGAGGGGGTGAGGAATGTCAGAGCCCCTCCAGGAGCTCAGGCTCAACTCTGTCCGAGTGTCCAGTCGTTAAAAACAAAAGACAGACATCGTTTTCAAGTGCTTACAGCAGAGGCCCAGTGCCCAAGTGGCGGGTAACAGAGGTGCTTCCCTCTGGGTACGTGGCAATGGCACACCCTGCAGCCCTCGCGGTCCTGGGGTGGAAGACATCGAGGCCCCACGCCGGGCCTTTCCGAACAGGCCTCCCGCCTACGCCGGCAGGTGGCAACGGACAGACCACCCGGGGCAGACGGGGACCCTAAGACCCAGTCTCGCAATGGAACAGCTGCACCCCGTCTCCTCCTCCTGGAAGCGCTGGGGAACACCAGGTTTGGCAGCAGCGGTCGAAGGACAGCCCCGCTGCCCAGGGCACCGGTCACACGAGGCGTCCTCCCGTCCTGGTCCTGCTGTGCTGTGTGGAGGTCCCACCCAGGGAGAGGGAAGGAGCTCGGAGTGCCTTCAGAGGTCATTCGCTAGGATCAGAAGAAGAAACACGAAGTCTGTTCTTTACGGCAGCAGGAGATTCCTCGGGCCTTCACTTCTAGCGCGGAGCCTGCTGTGCTCGAGTGTCAAGGTCCAGCTCGCTGACCGCCTGCCGGGGCTGCAGGGAGGCCCGGCCCCTGGAACCGACAGGTGGGCGGAGGAGCAGTGGACCGGCAGGTAGACGAGGTTACCGGACACGCCCGCCGGTGGCGGGTGGGAGGCCCAAGTCCCCGGCTGGGCTCCAGAGGTGCGAATGTGACCTGCCCGGAAGCGTCACGATGAGAACAGCTGACTAGGAGTGACAGACGAGCAAGTGAGGGTCCGGCCAGACCAGCTGTTCCCTGCTGGTCGAGCAAGAAAGACGTGAAAGTGGGGGCGGGGAGCCTGAATGAAGCCTTGGTGGCAGTGGGAGGTACCCCCAGGGTACCTGAAGCTCCCAGAAACCGACTGGGAGCCCCCCCCCCAAACAGCGGCAGTAATCCAGCTGAGTCGCTAAGCCTATGATTAAAAACGTCCTCTGATGCTGGGTGTGAAGACAAGCCCGAGAGCACCTTGCTACAGGACCAGTCGAGGGCACCGATTCCAGACGCACTGGGGCTCAGAGGGCACCCCAAGTGCCGCGCGAGGCCTCAGGACCCTGCGACCCGAATGTGGGAGTGGTCACCGCCCTTGTCATGTTGGGTGGTCCTCTGTTTAAAACCCATTATTTCCCTTTAGTGTCTTTTTTAAAAAATGTTTTCTTCTTGCAAAAAATGTTCACTTTAAAAAAAGTATTTTTCTTTCAAGTGTTTCTTCAAATCTCCTTCAGTTTCTTTCAAGTATCTCTTTTCCTTCTGTTTCTCCTGAATAAGATGAAGACCTCACTGAAACCCCAGCGTCAGACACAGGAGAAGCTTCTCCCTCTTCTCCCTGCTCACCCACCACCGAGACAGCAGCCTGTGCTCGGGACCACAGGGGGTGCTGGAGTGCGACCCAGCGCCTTGCTGCGGCTGTGTCACCGCAGGCAGTGAGAACACGTGGAGTGTGTCGTCCTCTCCCTGCCACACCGGACTTCCGACGGGCTCGGCTGCTGCAGCCTCCCCGTCACAAATTGGCCACCAAAGGCTGGAGGACAGCAGCGGAGGAGGAGTGTCGGATGGAAGGCCGTCTGCCTGGGGGCGGCTCAGAGCCGTGGCAGGTGGGACCTGGGCTTGGACGGAGCCTGGGTACGTGTGGACCATCAACGCAGTCACGTGCCACCAGCTGTGGGGCCCAGGCGGGCTTCTGTCCCATGCTGTGTGCACCCTGATGACCTAGACCTGAAGGTCACAGGGCAACACAGTGAGGGCTGACTTAAGCACCTGGAAAAACTGTACCTCTGGCGAGCGCACGTTTCACCGGGTCTTCTGGCCCACGCCCCTCCCGAGAAGGACCGCCCCCCGAAGGGAGTGCCTGCGTTTGTACCAGATCCCTCCCCACCGCATGCCGGCCTCTGCCTTAGATGGTGAGGAGAGGAATGCAGCCCACGCCAACCCCTCCCTCATGGCACGCCATGGGGGCCATGAATGTCCAGCGGTCCGTCTCTGGGTCATACATCTCCACCGAGCTGAGGTTCGACTGTCCGTCATAGCCCCCCACGGCGTACAGGCGCCCACAGCTGGCCACCAGGGAGACGCGGCTCCGGCGCGTGTGCATGGGGACGATCAGGCACCACTGGTCGGCCGCAGAGCTGTACATCTCGGCGATGCTGAGGAAGCCGGAGCCGTCGTAGCCCCCGCAGACAAACATCTTGCTGCCCAGAGAGGCGGCTCCGTGCCGGCAGCGCTTGTTGAGCATGCCGGCCGCGGGGTGCCAGGTGGCCGTGTGGTGGTTGTAGTGCTCCACCTGCAGCAGGGACAGAAGCACAGGCACAGGACAGTCAGAGCTGAGGCTCAGTGCACGGGTGGCCCCGTGGGGCACAGCGGCCCACATGGTGTTGGAGCCCAGGGGGCCGCCCAGGGACGAGGAGCTCTGCCAGCACAGGCTGCCGCTGTGACGCTGCTTCCTCGGTTGCTCTTGGGCTTACGCGGACAGGCGAGAGAGCGCCTACTCTGAGCCCGCCTGGTTACATCCCAGACACCAAAGGAAGGACTAGCCCAAAGCTGCCCTGCTGTGCAGGGACAGAGCCAGGGGAAGGCGGGTCTCCCGGCACCTGTCCAGAGTGTGTTCATTCCCCCGCAGCACTGAGGGACCCTCGGGAACCAACCACCAGCAAATGGCTGTTGAGGTTTTATTTCAAACAAATCATGCAGAAGGCTACACCTGTCTGCAAAGTCACACTCTGTGTATCACTGACCCTACTGTGGGCAGAACTCTCAGCTCTCACGCAGCATGTGATGGAGAACTACACAGGGCGGGGCGGGGCGGGGCGGGGCGGCCACACTGGTTCCCGTTCTCAGCATTCCTGAGCCCGCAGGTGATGGCCCAAACCTCACTAGACGGTGCCCAAACCCCAGCAAAGGGCAGGCGGACGCTCTCCCCAGAGAGCTGCCGTTCCAAGCAGCTCTCAGAGACGGGAGGAGGGGCCCTCAGCCCAGGGGCAGCCCCGACTCACGCTGTTGAAGATCTGCAGACCGTCGTGGCCGCCCGACACGTATATCCTGCCCTCAAAGACTGTGACGCCAGCGGCACTGCGGTTCGAGCTCATCGGGGTCACCACCGTCCACCTTCAGGAAAGAGCCACAGGAGGAGGGGAGCCATGAGACCCGGTGTCCCTGTCCTCCCGAGACAGCTCAGAAAGGCTCGGGAGCACTGTCCTGCCCTTCCTCTGGCCCCGGGCAGCCCCCTGGCCTCGTGGTCACCAGTCCCAGCACCTGCCTGTGGCTTTCTCCAGCCGCTGCCTTGCGCCCAACTTTCAGACCTGCGGCTGGTCTTCTCTGCTCATCTCTGAGGCTCCCAAGTCCGCATGCCCCGAACAACGGCTCTCACAGATCTGCTCCTCCCCTGTGCTCCCCAGTCTTATTCATTGGGCCCACCAGCTGCCTACCTGCCATACTTGTAAACTCAGCATTTTTAGGACTTCTTCCCCGTCAACCTCGACATTCCTGTGGTCACCAGCTCCCCGCTGGTTTGCTTCCTAGTCAGTGCTCGTCCCCACCCGCCGGCTCTGGCCTCTCGTCTGGACCACTGCAGCAGCCCCCTTACGCATGGCCTGGCATTCGGACAACTCTCCACTGGACCCTGAGCAGCACGTCCCCCGGGGGGCTCCTCACTGCGCCCTCTAAGGTGGGGTCCAAGTTCCCTAACGCGGTTCTTTACTGCTTGGTCCTGGTCGACTTGCCAGCTCTGCCCCACAGCCACCCGCGCCTGCTCTGCAGTCACACCGGCACTGTCTGATCTCCAAGGCTCTCCTCTTGCTGTCTCCCTGCCTGAATGAGCACTGCCTGCTACCCACGATGGGCCTAACCTCGCCTCCCCTCTCCCCGTGGGGAAGACGACGGCCTTCATCAGGCTGCGCCCCCGAGCACCAGACACAGGCCCCCCCTGGGGGTTGGACAATTGTGCTGCATCTGTGGCCCAGCAGACTGGTTGCTACTGAACGCTCTTAGACACTCTGCTTGCTGCCTGATATGTAAGAAATTGGTTAAATGAATGGAATATTGGCTTAAAAATATTCTGATGAATTCATTCTACTAATGTGCTTATATTCTGTTACATAAAATGTGAAAATTCAAATATTGAAACTAAAAATCTGGGCTAACTTTGCCAGTGTTTTCCCAGAATGGTCTACAAAATCACCCCGTAAGCTGACGCCAGGGTTACACGGGAGGAGGTCGAACAGGCCCCTACCGCAGGATTTTCGGCCGTGCGTTACTGGAAAGACAAGGACTCTGGTGGCACGAACATCAGTGCTTCCGACTTACTGGACCACGGAACTTTAAAATTTTTTTTTTCCCCAAATCAGACCCTACCCACTTCAGAAAGTGCCGCTCACCTATTCCTTATCCTCCTCCGCCTGCACTTCCATTACACTGGGCTGATTTAGCTCAGAGGTGCAGCGCGTTACATTGATGTTCCCACGGTCTATACAGACCATGTGTTTCTAAAATGTACTTAACCGCTCATTCACTTAACCAAAGGTAATAACCTATTATGGTCTTTACCTAGTATTACCAAATGAACGCCTATTACATGCAAGATTCCATTGGGGCTAAGATACGCTCTGTCCTCAACTGGGAAGCCTCATTCAAAGCCTGCAGCTCTGACTTTTTGTCCTCTGCTCAGCGAGCCCCAAGTGCCCAGGGGAGACCCAAGTCCTTACTTGTCCGTCTCGGGTGAGTAGGTCTCCACAGAGTTGAGGGAAGAGTTGCCGTCGTAGCCCCCGCAGACGTAGATCTGCCCGTCCAGCACGACCGTCCCCATGGCGCTGAAACAGACAGAGCCGTCACCCTAGACGGGCCTCAGGCCTCCTGCGGCTGCCGGCACGCTCCCTGAGAAATGAACCTGCCCACCCCACTGCCTCTCTCTACAACAGACCTGAGTCCCAGGTGTGTGGCTACGTACAGGTGTACAACGGAGCCACAGGCGCTGCCCTGGATTCCCCTTGTCTCCCACCCACCCCGACTGGGGTCTCCCCCCGACACCAGTCTTCTCAGTCCTTACTGTCTCACGTGCCTCTGCTCCGCCTTGCTGAGCTCACGGTCTAACTCACCTGTCAGGCCCTGGTCCAACTCCCCTCTCCTCAAAGAGCCACCTGATCCCCCAGCAAGAGCGACCCTCTGCTGACCCCACACCTCCTCAGTGTGATCCCGGGAGTGCTGCGTGACGCTCTGTACGTACAGGCCCTCAACACACGCTGCTGTGTTACTGTGGCTTGCCCCTTCGATCCGCTACAAAGATCAAGTGTGTTGTTGTCATACACACGGCCCCGCGTGGCCCAGCCTGCCGCAGTGGGCGACAGGACAGCTCTTCCTGCTGTGCGCGTACTGCACGTGTCGGACGCCCTACGCCTGCTGCTCGCCACCAGCACCAGCCTACGACGGGTGGCTCGGGGAGGCGGGGCTGCTCTCCCCGGCTGCCCCGAGACAGGCGCTCAGGCTGCAACGAGCCCAGCCCCACTGAGCTCTCCTCATGCCCAAGACCCAGGGGTCTGGCGCAACCTGTAACCTTCTGCTCCACACACAGCCCCAGGGGAAGTTAAACACGAACGCCACGCTGCCTGATTCAGTTTTCAAACCTAATGCTGGAGAAGGAATTGTAAATCGATCTGGGTGTGTGACGAACGGGAAAACGCACTGTGCCAGCCTTACTACCACCTCTCAAATGGATGTGGTGAGTGAACCTGATCCACACAATGTCCCTTTGAGTGACAGGGTGACAGACGCCCTGAGGAGGAAGGACTTGCCCTAGGCAAGGACGGTGGGAAGGACACCGAGTCCCTAGACCTGTGACTATCATTCCAGAAGTGGGCACAAGTAACAACACGGAAGTTCAACAAAAATGTGAGAGAAAACTACGAGGTGCCACAAAACTGTGGGCGATGAACTACCAACTGAGCCGTGAAGACGAGGGTGAGGAGGGGAGGGGCATGCTGGCCGGCGGGGACCGGGGTCACCCGCGGGGGGGGGGGCGGGCGGGGGGAGAAGCTCCCTGGAAGCCTCCTGGAGGGTGGAGAGGAAAGGAACGGCGGCAGAGAGCAGCCTGTCACCAGCTGGCAGGACAGAGAGCTGTGTGGGATGTCGGGAGGGAAGCGACCGAGAACATTTTAGGGCAGCCTGCAATTTAAACGGGATGAGAGGCAGCTGGGCCCGCGCTGCTAATAACAGGGCGCTGACCAGGGCGAGGGAGACGAGCGCCGGAGGACTCGCTTCCCAGAGGACTCTCCGCACCCCGTGACACGACAGCGAGGACGGCGCCCACAGCAGACCGGCAAGGAAGGACTGATGCAGTCAGAGCAAAAAAGGCAGCCACCGGAGCGGCAAGTGGGCTGAGGCCCCGGAGAGCTGCAGAGCACCCCGAGGAGCACAGCGGGGGAGCCCCGGGGTGGCGACGGAGGGGCCAGGAGCGTGAGAGCATCAGCCTGCCGCTGCGGGACGGGCGGTCTCACACACGCCGTCCCCTCCCCCCGCACCAGCCAGCTCGGCCCCCGTGGACCTGCTCTCAGGGCACAAAGGCACTTCCTCCCGGCTGGAGGCCGTGTGCCGGCACCCATGAAGGTGGGACACGGGTGTCACGGCCGTGACACTCTTACACGGCCGAGGCCTTGCACACCCACGCCTCCTCCTCCTCCTTGCCATGCCCGCAGTCACGCCCCTTTCTGTGTGGTCACACGACCTCACAAGCGGAGGACCCGCAGCGCGGCCAAAGAGGTCGGCGAGGCAGACACTGAGCAGGGCCCTTAAAGGGCGACCTGTCTGGCAGTTTTCAAACTGCCCCTTTCGGGGAAAAAATTCACGGCACTTTCCCCCTACGGGTGGGCACAGGTCAGGGACGCCCAGCATGTAAAAGCGGTCGGGCTGCCTCCCTCTCCTCCGCCAGCCCTAGAGGAGAACCGCCGGGTTCCAGGTCAAACCACTGATTCATCTAGTGCGGCCTCGTGAGGGTGGAGGCGTGGAGCACTGTCCACTCCCATCCCCCCGGCTCCAAGCCTCCCTCTGCCCCACGGCGTAAAGACCCCACACACGTCTGACAGCAGGAGAGATGCCGCCGGGCGCGTCGGCACTGAAAATGTTAAATGGGGCACCACTGGGATGTCCTGAAATCCTGACTGACGACACGTGGGCAGGCAAGCTGTGATGGAGGGATGCGGTGAGAGACCCGTGACGGAGGGCCACCTCGCCAACACCCGTGTGCTCATGTGGGGGAACGCGGCATGGGCCTGCGGTGAGGAACACTGCCATGGTGCTATGCTCCCAGGTAGTGAAAGCACGTGCCTGGCAGTGATCCGGGGCGAAATGAAGTATGAAGAGAAATACACCTCGGATTTCCTCGTACCACTGCTTACTCTTGAGTTCCAACGTTAACCCCCCTCTTCTCTGCAGCCCCCCAGAGGGTCCAGCCTAGCTCCTCTCCCCCATCGAACCTTCCACATGCACACTTTCAGCCATACCCAGGGCTTCGATGACAACGCAACCCCCACCCGCCCACGACCTGTCTCCCCGAGCTCCTCACGGGACAAGGCCGGAGTTTCACTGTGAGCAGGCGTGGGCTCGCTCCCAGCCGGGGGCCCAGCAGTGGCTGGCCTGGCTGCAGGGGGTTCCCGGGCAGAGCTCGTGTCTTACTCTATTACGCGCCCCTGCCGGTCGGGGACGGCACCCCCAGATGCCCAGGGTGCGCTCCCTGGACTGCGCAAAGGGCTCCCAGAATACCTTCTCTTGCTGTTCATGCTCCCCACTCTGGTCCAAGTGTCCGTCTCCGGGTTGTAGACCTCCACGGTGCTCAGCCGCAGCTGGCCGTCGTAGCCCCCGATGGCGTAGAGGAGCCCATTCACCACAGCCACGCCGACGCGGCTGCGGGCCGTCGTCATGGGCCGGCACTTCTCCCAGCGATTGGCGACGGGGTCGAACACCTCCACCACGTTCAGGGAGTCACCTGCATAAAAATTTGCTACTCAAATTTAAACAAATGAGACCACTCGTTTAGATCACAGCTGCTGGGTACTGATTATATGGAAAGTTTAACTAGTCTACAGCTCTTCCCACAGGACCTCAAGTCGGAAGGGCCCACTAAGAAACTGCAGCCATAATAACCTCGAACCTAATGCTTTCCCCCACCCCTCACCTGAGGGCATTATTTTTCATTGCTTTTTTTCGCGAGGAAGGAAGGGAGAAAGGAAAACATCGATGTGAGAGACAGAGTAGCATTGACTGGTTACCTCCCCTGTGCAGCAGGAGTGGGAATCGCACCGGCCGGCACCTGGACTGGGGATTGAACCCACAGCCTTTCGCGTGTGGGATGACACTCCAACTAACTGAGCCACAAAGGCCAGGGCTCTAAACCTAAGTCTTTAAGTGAAATCACAATCAGATGGGTGACATTTACTTTCTAGAGAGGGCAATTTTAAGTTGCAATGAGGGTCTCCATCTGTTTAAAGCCAAAGATCAAGGCAGGTGGATACACTATTTCCCCAACACAGGAGGCACGCCCAGAGGGCAGGGTGTGCGTGCCAATGCCCACTTTCACTTGGTGGCCCTCAACTTTGAGGAAGTTGCTTTGTATCCCCAGCCTCTGCTCTTAGGGGTGAAATGAAGATAATCTCTATGCAGAGTTGCCATGAGGATTAAGCGATACATTACATAAATCACCCAGCACAGTTCTCGAATAGACTAAATGTTCAGTAAACGGTAGTCATAGCAACAAGGAATGATAATTTCCACCCTACCTTTTCATCAGGTTCTTGTGAGGATCAAAAAGACTTCCCCTCCCTGTTTGATTCCACTCAGGGGCACTTAGCACCTGCCCCACTACAGGTTACTAGCCGAGGACTCAGGTCATTAGGTTAATGAGCAGCGGAGACTAGTACCCACCTCTTGTTAGCTTTCGAGTAAAGACACAACTGCCGCCCTGACCAGTGTGGCTCGGTTGGTTGGGTGCTGTCCCACAGAGTGAAAAGTTGCCAGTTCAATTCCCGGTCAGGGCACATGCCTGGGTTGTGGGTTCAGTCCCCAGTCGGGGCGCGTGCAAGAGGCAACCCTTTGATGTTTCTGTCCCACGTCAATGTTCTCACATTGATGTTTCTCTCTCTTTCCTTCTCCCCACTTTCCCTCTTCCTAAAAATAAATTTTAGAAAATCTTAAAAACAACAACAACAACAAAAGGACTGCCACGGCCACCCATCTATTCCCCACCGCCCACGAACAGCTGAACTGACGCTGTGGAAGGGCTTGGCCTCCACAATGGACGTGATGACTCCTGGAGTCACTGCACTGCCGGGATTCAGGCGTCCACACTGCCCTCTCTGCTAAGTCTCTGCTGGCCTGCAGTGGTGCCTGGCGAGGAGGGCGGCCGGGGCCCCGTGGAGCTTTCCCAAAAACTTGACCGTGTGATACAAGAGCTGCCAACAGCGCACAGACTTCTAACTCGTGTGTGTATCACGGGCGCTAGGAGGTAAAGAGTAACAAGTATTGCTGGCAGGGGCAGACACTGTTTGGAGAATTATCCTTCTTAAAAAAAAGATTTTATTTATTTTCATAGAGAAGGGAAAGGAGAAACAGTGGGAGAGAATCATCCAGGTGTGGCTGCCTCTCACACGCCCCCTACTGGGGACCTGGCCCTGCCTGGGAATGGAACTGGCAACCCTTTGCCTCCCAGTCCAGCACTCAATCCACTGAGCCACACCAGCCAGGGCTGGGGAATTATCCTTCTTACGGTGACATTCTCTCAGTCTAACTCTCAGGAATCTTTAGGTTCAAATGTGATCTGCCTGGTAACAGAACGGGGTCTCTGACTATATCCTATCCAGGGCGGAGCCCATCCGATAGTCAAGGTGATGTCAGGGAAACTGTGTTGGCCCTGGCTGCTGCGGCTCAGCGGACTGAGCACCGGCCTGTGAACCAAAAGGTCACTGGTTCAATTCCTACTCAGGGTGCCAGGCTGGGTTGCAGGCCAGGTCCCAGTTGGGGGTGTGTGAGAAGCAACTGATCGATGTATCTCTCTCATAGCCATGTTTCGCTCCTTCTCTTTCTCCCTCCCTTCCCTCTCTCTATAAAGTAAGTAAATAAACTAAAGAGTGCTGGCTCAGGAGTCCTTGCTCTGCCAAAACCAAAACGAACTCCACCCTGCTGAGCAGGGAGGAAGTTCTCTGGGCCCCGATTTCTGTAAGGGAAGGGAGCTGGACCACAAGGGTTTCTAAAGGCCTCTTTAGCTCCCATGCTGATTCGATGGTATTAACACCGACATGCTCTAACTGCAGGACAATGACATAAATGTGAGACGGGGAGGTGACACGCAAGGAGAGGACACGAAGGGCCAGGCTAGGGGTCTGGGGCTTCCTCTCCCACAGAGCCCAGGACGGCGCTCTGTGAGGGCGGAGTGCAAGGTACCTGCGGAGTTGAGGCCTCCCACAGCGTAGATGAGCCCGGCGATGGACGTGCAGCAGCGCGGCCGAGTGCGGAACGCCGGCAGGTGGGGCCGGCGCTCCGGCATGAGGTGATAGTCCTTCGCTTCGTCTACCAGGTCCCTGGAGTAGGGGGCAAGATGCTAGGACAGGAGGTATCCTCCCCACGTGGGCCACACTTACAGTTCCAAGCCTGGCCCCCCCACCTCCAACTGCAGGGGGAGCCTGGGAAGAGAAGCCTTCCAGAAGGTTTGGTCTCAAAGAACCCAGCTGAACCCAGGAGAAAGCGTACACAGCTCTTGAGACACACTCAAAACTAGGGGAGCAAGACAAGCTGAGCCCGCCCTGGCACGTGTAATCAGAGTGGCTGCCTTCCAACAGGCACAGAGCCGGCAGGAGGCTGAAACAGTGGGCTCTGGGGAGGAGCCTGGGTCCTTTCGCCCCTCTTCCTTTCTATCCCTGCGGCTCACACCCTGCCACGAACCACCTCTCACCAGGACCATGGTGCCAGAAGCCAACTGCTGCTGGCAGATTTTCCTGCCCCCGGCCCCAGCCCTCCACTCCACCTTCCGCACGACAGACAGTCCAGGCCCTGTCTGCAAGAGCCTTTGATGGCTAGCCGGCATCTACAGAAGGAAGTTCAAACTCCTCCACTGCACCCGTGAGGCTGTGTGCCACGGGTCCCAGCTAACTCGCCACACCTCACCTGACCGGACACACGCCTTCATTCTGCTTGCACCGAGCCACTGACTGCCTCCGGAACCGGCCGTGCATGAGACAAGTCATTTGAAGGGGGATAAACACTTTTCTCTGCTGCTCTGCTTTTACAATGACCCCTCTGTAGGGCTACCATCTTGGGAGCTGTCTGGCCACGTCGTCACTGAGTGACAACGTGGGGTTTGAGTTTCATGTGCAGGTGCCCACGCCCCCCTGCCCGCCCATCACTGCCGTGGCTGGCCCGCACCCGGCCGAGCACTGGGCACTGACTAACGTTCACGGGGGAGGGTGAGGAGCCCCAGGAAGTCACCGCTAAGTCAGCGGCTGGGGTCGGCAGGGGCAGGGCAGCCAGCACAGACATCAGCGTGTTCATGAACAGCTTAATGGATGGAGATGCCACAAAACCCTCAAATAGCTTAGGGGAGAGAGCCTGTTCTGCCTCGGTACCCCCATATTGCACATTTCTCTCCCCAAAGTCTGAGACCCGGGCTCCTCCGGGCTCTCGCTGGAAGGCAGACCGACCCGCGTGCTGTGAGTTAAGACGGACCCTCCACTCCTGCCCGTCCCGAGCAGCCAGGTTCTCTCCTCCGCCCAGACCCGCGGCCGCATCCTGCGCGGGCCTAGCCCTGCTCACCTGCATTTGTGGCAGCAGCGTACCAGGTCGTCCTGCTGCACCCGGTCCGACAGGAACTGGGGCCGGCAGAGGGGCAGACGGATGTTGGACAGCAGCTCGGGCAGGCAGGGCCCTCTCTGCTCCCGGTCGTACCTGACCCAGGCCAGCACGGCTTCGAAGACCTGCCGCGGCAAAGAGTGGACACGCTGGCGGCAACGCCCCCCAGTCAGAGGCCACAACCCCAAGCCCCTCCACCCAAAGCCCGCCCACCCCCTCTCTCGAGGCAGTCCCTGGGTCACCCCGTCCTTCTCTTTCGTCTCCTGAATCCATGCTTTTCTCTCCACTCCCCCAGCTACCCCCTTTGGCCCAATCTCGAAACACAAGCCCAGGTGACTGTAACAGCTCATTACGACCCCTGTTAATGGCACCTTATTCCTTTCTGCTTCACAACCAAAACCCTGTTTGCCTTCCTCTCTGCTGCTTCCGTGCCCTACTCCTAAAGTCCCTCTACTACCCTCCACCAGCCTGGCTCATTCCTCTGCTTACACTGTCCCCTTCACCTAGAATGTCCCCTCATCGCCTCTTCATCGAAACCCACCCCCTTTCTTTAAGATCTGGCTCGAGATCCATGTTCTCCAAGGAGCCTTCCTCAGCGGCTCTCGTCACAGGAACACCTCTCTCCAAAACCCTCCAGCCCTTACGGATGCATCACTCTGATGGACGCCAGCTGCCCGGGCCCCATTCCTTGCGCTCAGGGAGAGCGAGCAAGGTGAAAGGGAGCCCACGCAGCGGAGCTCATGGTCCACTTTTCCACTGCCTGCTCTCGTCCAGGGGTGACGGCTCTTCAGACACTAAGGCGAGGAGCTGAGTTGGGACTAACATGCCGCCGGCTTGCCTCCTGGGGCTCCTCCCGCTGAGGCGCAGCTTCGGGACAGGCCGGGGCGACTGATCTCAAATGCCCCGAGCTGCTCTGCCACAGGCTCTGGTCAGACTTCCCAGCGGACCGCCTGGGTGCAGGCCTTGCCGCGGGGGCGCTCCCGGTGCCGCTTCCGGTGCCTGCGGGGCCACGCCCGCATTTTCACCCCTGCACCCGGCGCCCTTCCGTGCCCAGCCCTCGCCGCTCTCCGCTCAAAGGATTCGCCGCTCTCTTCGGACAGCCCACACCACGTCTTTGTCGGAGAGAAAGGATCGCCCTCCGGGCCTCTCTGCTACACTCTTGCTTAAGCTTCTCCTGACCACCCGAGAAGATGTTCTCTCTGTCCTCAGCGGGCCCTGTGCTCGCTCCCATCTGGCTTTGCCAACAGCTTCGCCTCCTCCATAATTCTAAGTGTGCTAGCACCTGACCACCACCTCCAATCCTTACAGCTCAGTGATGGATGCCAGTCAGCCTTGGACATGGCTCCCCGCTCCAGCCTCCCCTCCAGATACCCCCCCTCCTAGCCTCTGCGCTCACCTGTCTCCCCTCCATGGGCCACGTGGGGTATAAGGCAGGTGCCCTCAATTCCCACGCCATGCCCTCATCTCCCTTCCTCACACTTGCTGGTAAAAACAGTCCCTCTTCTGGGGAAGTCTTCCTCCCGTAACCTCACTCGCCCCTACTCCGCACCCGCCCCACTCCAGGTGGCCGACAGAAAACGTGCAGCGGGCAGACCCCCGGCTTCAACTCTGCGACGGCTCCCCTCATCGGGCCCTGCATCCTCTCCAGCGCCCTCCGTTTCCGGGGCTTCATCCGAGTGCTCTCCCCTCCCCCGGGGGCCCAGTTCACACCTGGTCCTCTCTCCTCAATCCCTAACGCTCCCTCATCCTCACCCTCAGCTGACGCGAATCAGACGAGAATGTGAGTGGAATCCACCAGAATCTCCCTCCCCGCCCCCTGCTCCCTCCCCGCCCCCTGCGTGCCTATCAAATCGTTCCCCTGGCGCCCGAGATGGGCCCTTAGTCCTCCCCCAGGACATCCGTCCAGCCAAGCTGCTCCCTTTTCTCCTACGTTAGCAACTCTTCCCTCTCTTCCGGAAAACTCCCACCGGCAGCCACACTGCACTGTAATTTCTCTCATCTTAACAAAACAAGCCCCTCCTGACTTCACATTCCCCACTGGCAACTGCCCCAAGGCTCTGCTCTCCTTGAGAAAAACACTCTTCCAAAAGCTATCTGTATTGATTTCTAGGTTAATGCAACGTAATTTCTAACGGTAAATGCTGGAAACAAGCCACACCCCCAAGAATGAAGAAAGCAGGGTCGATAAAATCGATGGAATAATATTTAGACAATAAAACATATCAAGTTTTCATGAAAAACGCCCCTGCTATGATAAAACAAACCCGGAACAATAAACATCAACTACGTGCACGTCATGCTCTTCGTTTCGTTAAAAAACAATGGAGAGAAGAGAAAGGGAACACTGGAAAGAGCCGCAGGCCCCGTGTCACCGGCGGCCCGGCCCCGCGCCCCACAGACCTGCTCCTCGGACCTGACGTTCAGCTCGTCCCGGGACACCAGCTCCAGCACGTCCTCCGACGGCAGGGCCAGGAACTCCTCCGACACGGACACCTCCACGAAGTGCTGGTGGATGAAGCTGTTGGCCGCGTCGTACAGCACGGCGCACATCATCGTCTCGGCGAACTGCCGCACGCCCAGGCAGTTTTTGGGGTGAAGCCTTTTGCATAAGGAAGGAACGCAAAGAAAACCTCAGAGTAAGAAAAAAGGTCATCTTCAAATCGTGGTCAGGCTGGCTCTGGGTGAAGCCACAGAACAACAACAACCCCCCCCGCAAACACACACAAACTTTGTCCTCAACTTTGGAGAAACTCCCAGTGTAAATGAGGTGCGTCTTTCGGACCTCACTTGCAAGGGTATTATTTAAATGAAGACAGACGACCCTCAGAGGCTCCGCCTCCTGGGCTGGTGTCCTGTGCGGCTGGGTGGGGCAGCTCTCGGGAGGGAAGACAAGCAGAACACGCACTGAAAGCCTGTCTGCTGTCCCTCGGCTGCTGACGTTCTCGGTTGAGCGTCCACCTCCGGTCACCAGGAAGGTGCCGAAGCTGTAGAACGAGCGCTTACTCCCGGAGGAGAACGACTTCTCTAACACTGGGACCCTTACACTGCGCTCTGTTCCCACACAGGAGGAGGCTCTCCGGGTGGCTGAAGCACCCAAAACAACATCCAGGCAGCCATCACTTATTTCTTTCCCTCAGTGCGTCGAGCACGTCGCCAGCCTTTTACACACACTCTCCGGGATCTCTGGAACAACACTGTCAAGTAGCAACTGCTCTCATTTTCGGACGGAAAAGTGAGGCTCGGAGCAGCTAAGAAGGCTGTATGGTTAGGGCATGACAAAACTGCACTGGTCTAAACATCCTTTTCCAAGCACCTTAGAGGTGACACGACTTTGTAACAGAGCCTGGATCCAGTGTTGACAGTGATGACCTCCAACGCCCCTAGGTGGAGCTATTGTCCCCTGTGCGAGTGGCCAACTTAATCCTTGCTCCATCATTCTTCAAACTCCAGGGAACACAGAGTGGACCAGCCCAGTCTGTGTCCCAAGAAGCTCACAAATGAGTAGGTGAGGCCCTGTCCGCCCCACACTCCCAGGTGCATCCCTCCAGCTGCACCCGACGGCATCCCAGGGCACGGTCAGGCCAGGTTGTGGGACTATTCTACTTGCAGAATCTGGAACAGGACCACCTACCTCACGATGAAACCACTCAGCATGCACCCAGCAGAAGCCCGCCCCCGCCCACATGCCAGGCGTCATTACCACGGCTACTAAGACTGGCTGCACGCACAGAGGTGCCCAGTGATGCCCACGAGCTGCATTCGGGCAGGATGTGGACAGCAGGCAGGGCTCACAGAGCTGCTAAGTGAACTGGACTGGTGCAGTGAGACGGGGAGAGGTTGGCGGCTCTAAGAGGGGATGAGGCTCAGGAGGGCAGATCTGAGGCGAGAGGAACGCCGGTCTTCCGGTGAGGGACCTGGCGGTCGGACCACTGGGGTGGAGACCAGGCCCGGGAGAGCACAGACGCTGGTGCGCCCGCTGTGCTGGTTTCTCCCTGCCTGTGCGCAGCGCAGCACTGACCCTCGTGTCCGTGTCCGGGTCTCTAGTGGTGAAAAGGCAGCCTTTCCCTCAGGACTAAGAGCTGTGCTTGCCTCTTGAAGGGGAGGAAGGTCCTTCTTATCTGCTCAGTCGTCAAACGGTCATTGTCAAGAGCTGGATGTAGGTAGGGATAAACCCGTGGTCCTGACCCTAAAAGAGCACGCCATGGCTGCTCCCAGGGAGCTCGGGGGGACAGAGAATTCCAGGAGGTAAAATTTGGGTGGGCTCTTAAAGAGCTGAAGGGAAAACAAAGATCAAGAAATACGAGGAGGGCGAAGGATCTAAACAAAGAAGAGATGTCCGCGGGGCATTGAGGGAGCACCGACTAAATCAGCTCGGTGAGAACAGCCAGCTAAACCAGCGGCTGGTCAGCCTGGACGGAGGACCGGAGGACCGGAGGACCGGAGGAAGAGGGACGGGCGGGGCAGGCCAAGGGAGAACTTGGGCAGGGCTTCGTAAGGCACATTCCTTAGAGGTCCCACCCCAACGACCGAGCGCTGCCTGACTCTGATTTCAGGAAAGGTCATTTCTGAAACAGAGAACGAGCTGACAGTGACCAGAGGGGAGAGGGGAGGGAATTTCAGGGGGAAAGGGGAAGGGTTTGCAGGAACAAGTATAAAGGACACATGGACAAAAACAAGGGAGGGGTGGAAACGGGAGGGAGGTGGGGAGGGCTGGGGGGCTGGGCTGGGATGGGAGTAAAAGGCAGAAAACTGTACTTGAACAACAATTTAAAAAAAGAAAAGAAAAAAAAAAAGGTCATTTCTGCAGAGTACCTTCCCAGCTCCCACCCTCCATGAAACTCTGCGTGCTCTCAGGGCTCAGCGAGCTGGCGGGGACCCCAGAGATGAACTGGTCAGGTCCCCCCCTCGTCACAGGCCGGGCCCCGCAGCTCCTCACCGTTCGCGGAGGAACGTGCAGCAGGCGTCTTTGATGCTCTGCAGCTGCAGGAAGCTCGCCCCCATCAGCAGCGACTGCACGTTCTGCTGATCGATGGCAAGGTGGCCGTTGTAGGCGAAGTTGATCAGAGCCTCCAGGGCACTGGATGGAAGAGGGAAGACGACGCTCTTTAGAGGTGGGTGCTGGCCACGGAGGCTGGGGCCCTAGGTGAGCTGACATTCCTCCCTGGGAGTGCACGGGCCCCACTCCAGACCATGTGTTTCAAACCCCCATGCCCTTTCAGACCCGTCTGAATGGAACAGCCACTTCACCGTGGCCAGACCCGCTCCACTTCTTGTCTTTACTGCCCAAATTATCTCTTAGGAGAAAATTCTAAAAAGAAAAAGCAATTACCCACACTACCACTACTGAGCAGGTCCATGGCGGTCATTTTTCTAGGTGCATTTTCAGCCCCTATTTGCCTGCAGGCATAAACTGTACAACTATGTATACGATACCGATGAGGCCCTTTACCCCACTGCTACACTGCCTTCACGTTTACTGGTTTTAGTGGTGGCTACATGTAAATATGCTGAAATACTGTATTTATTTCCTTTATCGCTAGGCATAACAGCTATTACCTTCTTGCTGCCATGATAAACACTGGTTTTGGATGACTATTTCTTTGGGATAAATTTCCAGAATAGGCTTCCCAATGTGTTTTCTCCCTCCCACGGCGCTGAGAACGAAGTCTAAGTTCCGCCCGCAGGGCGGTGCGCGGCTGGCTCCTCTCCGTCCTCTGTCCTGACCACTGCCACTCTGTCCGCCCTCACTCTGGACTCGAGTCCAGCGTGCCGAACACGCTCTCACCTCAGGGCCTTTGCACTGGCTGCTCCCTCTGTTTGGGGGGCTCTTCCCCCAGACGGCTCACTCCCTCACTCCAATGAAGGTCTTGCCCCAAAAGTCCCCTCATCACAGAGGCCTCCCCGATCACCCTGACATGGCACAGACCGCCACCATCACTCGCTAGCCTTTACTCTGCTTTCCTTTTCGGACACCACTTTCCCTGCCCAGACATAGGGGCATGGGTGTATCTGTTTACTGCCAGGCCCCCACTGCTAACAGAGGTGCTACACCTCGGGGCCAGCCTCGGCACCCATCACGGGGGCTGGGTCAGCCTCCGTCAAAGGAGGCACCTGCAGTGTGCACGGGGACTAGCACGGCCCCCTCAGACGCAGGCCTCGGAGAGGACAGTGTGCACTGCCCTTGAGGCCCTTCCGTGTCTGTCCTTACAGCTTCCTGGCCCGAGACTTGGGCCTCCAGCGGGTTCTGCACCTCCCCTCCGCGTACTGGGGCGTCACCTTCCCAGCTCCTTTCCCGGGGGTTTCACCCCTGTGAGATTAGGCAACAGATGAGGTCACTGGCCGGTGTTTTAGAGTCACTGGTTCGTCTATTGCCTCTCCACTGACGAGAATGTCACTGCCCTGCGTCACCTTGTGTCATGTTTGCTGTTGCATTCCCAGACCCCAGAACACTGTTAGGCACAGAGCAGGTATGCAGGGAACTCCTGATACAGACTAGATTATAAACATAGAGCCTAATTCATAGATTTGCAGCAAAATCTTTTTTTTTTTTTTAATGATTTGACTTATTTTTAGACACAGGGGAAGGGAGGAAGAAAGAGAGGGAGAAAAACATCAATGTGTGGTTGCCTCTCACTTGACCTGGCCCACAACCCAGGCGTGTGCCCTGACTGGGAATCGAACCAGCGACCCTTTGTCTGGCACTCAGTCCACTGAGCAACACCATCCAGGGCTACAGCAAAATCTTTTAAGTGATTGACATAAACATGTCTTTTTCCTCTTAAGACCCAAAAACGCATACTATGGAATGTTTCTATGAAGTCGTTAGATAGAAATCAGGAAGGTATTTTCACAAAGAGTGTCTAGGACTAAGTGACTCTAGATATAAGAACAACTTCAAACAGGCACCTAAATGATGCGATTTCAGGGGTTATGGTACTGCCTCCTGCCCTGAAAATTACTCTAGGAAGGAACCCCTCAACCTTGGCATTTTCAACATGTAGGCCAACGCTGTTCTTTGTTATGGAGGGCTGTCTTGGATGAAAGACAGTTGGCTGGGATAGTCTTTGAGCCTGACCTCCTTGGGCTTCAGTATTCTTTTTTTTTTTTTTAAGATTTTATTTTTAGAGAGAAGGGAAGAGAAGGAGAAAGAGAGGGAGGGAAACACCAATGTTTGGTTGCCTCTCATGTGCCATGGGGGCCTGGCCTGCAACCCAGGCACGTGCCCTGACTGGGAATTGAACCAGCAACCCCTTGGTTTGCAGGCCCACACTCAATTCACTGAGCTACACCAGCCAGGGCAAGGGCTCCAGTATTCTTATTCATCAAATAAGCATGGTTTTTGCTCCCTTCTAGACCCGTGTGGCCCCATACAACAGCCATTAGCTATTTAAAATAACATTTAAGGGAACTGAACTGAAATACAATTTAGAATTCAGTTCCTCAGCCCCACCGGTCACATCTCAAGCGTTCACGGTGACATGCGGACTAGTGGCCGCCATTCTGGGGAGCAGGAGGAGAACACTTCCGTCACTACACAGCATTCCAATGGACGCATTAGACTCTGCTCTGGACTGACGAGAAGACGCTTATTTGAAAACAGACTTTTCCCTGGCCAAGTGCTCAGTTGGTTGAAGCGTCTTCCCGTGCACCAAAAAGCTGGTGGTGTGATTCCTGGTCAGGGCACATACCTAGGTTGTGGGTTTGATCCCTGGTCAGGGGGCAGATGGGGAACAACCGATTGATGTTTCTCTCTCTAAAATCAGTAAACATATCCCCGGACGAGGATTAAAAGAAAAAAAAAGTGAAAAGATTTTGCCAGCTGAAACGGCCAGCACGGAAAACTGCAGAGATTGATATGCCATCACCCTTGTACCTGTCTTAGCTAAGAATCACATCCTGAACTCAGTTCTGACTAAATGCGCACATAACCAAACTCTCCTCATTTCATTTCAACCCTGACTCGGGCCGCCAGCCGAGGCTCCGCTGGTTCATCCATCACGTGTGTGGGGCTGTGCTACAGACGCCGCGTCCTGCCGCGGGACCCGAGGGGCAGCAGACGCGAGGCAGAGCGCGGGCCTGGAAGCAGCCAGTAAGCCTAACGGAGGAGTCTGTACCTGGGGTCCATTCCTTGCATTACGATCTCATCCTGCTTGCACTCCATCATGTCATTTGTAAACATCGCGTGGAAGTACGGGATGGAGGCTGCTAAGACGATCCGGTGAGCACTGAACTTGTGGTCGCCGATCTGTGGGCAAAGTAAAAGACAAAGATACTGAGAAATGCAAACACGAAGATCCACCCTGCCCCTCCCACAGTGGGACCCACCCGCCCTGGAGTGGCACCAAAGACATCCCACTGCGTGACAGCTGAGGTTTCTCATGAGGTCCCTCGAGTCTGTTTGATTCCATGTACTCAGCTACAGTAGAAGGCAAACAACACATTTTCAAGTGGTTAAAAAACGTAAGCCTGAATGTTGTGAGTGGCAGTTTTTACTTACATGGCGGTCTCCACTGCACCCCTCCCGACTCCCCTGCCAGCTCCAGGACCTGATTTCTCTAACACTGAACCCCGACCCCAGTTCTACTAGAAAGCAGATGAAACAGACAAACTGGCCGGGAACCTTGAGGCCCCTGATAGTTGGTTCCTCAAGAAGAGTAAATACACAGTGACTGAAAAAGATGAGGAGAGACGAGACCAAACTTGAAGAAGGGCACACGTGGGGATCAAGGACAGGGCTGGCATAGTGGGCACAGAAATTGGGGGGCCCCTGGGTGCCAACCGGGCTGTGGCAGACCCCAAGGAGCCCAGAGTTCCTCTTAGGAAGATGCCGGCAGCAGCAGCAGCAGCTGGCTGGGGGTGGTGCCGGGGCCTGGCTGTGCTCTGCAAGGCCCACAGGGCGCAGGCCCACGACCCTCTCAGGGTCGGAGACAAACTCTCCAACCCGCGCCACACCCTCACCGACGCGTCCTTAGCCTTAGGAGGTCTACAAAGTCCTTTCCAACTGTCAAAAGGATATTCCCTTTATAAGCTTTGCCACTGATAGTTCCAAGATGCATAATAAACATTTTCACTTAAGAACTGTCTATTCTTCAGAAAAAGCATAACTGTCTTTTTTTTACCCCTCTTTCACCAAATACCACCGTCTCACTGCCTGATGATCGTCTCAAAATCACACACACAATCTTCCAAACAGACCCAGTCTTCCGACGGACCCTCCCCAGACTCAGATTACACGAGCACCTGGAACCACCCGCCATCCGCGTGCCCCCCGACTACTGATGCTGGGGTCATTAAACTACTGGGTGCTTGGGGGGTTCTTCACAATGAATAAAATCACAGTAACACATACGAGTGTTTCTTAAAGTTGTTCCATGAGGCTTATTATAATGAAAACCAGCGGTTTCTGGTTCCGTTTCCTGATCCCAGGGCAACCTCTTCTGGTATTTACTTCTACCTATCTAAAACCTTTCTAAGCGATGTGCCTATAGTATCACTTCTCAAGTTTTCACTTCTAGTTGTTACTTGTGATAGTGGGTCTCCACACAGCCCCCAGTGACCCAGCGGCCTCCTGGTGTTCACACCCTTGTGCAGTCCCCTCCCACAAAGTCTCAGGGTGGGTCTGTGCGACTGATGGAGCGTAGCACTGGTGACGGTATGTCACATTCAAGGCCAGGTCTTGGAAGGCACCGTGCATTCCTCTGATGGTCTCTCCTGTATCACCTGCTCCCGGGAAAGCCAGGCACCAGCACCCTCCTGCGGCGAGGCCCACGAGAAAGGGGACTGAGGCCTCCTCCTGCAGCCACCTGGGTGAGGGGGACGGAGCTCCGCACCGGCAGGCCATCAGATGACCTTAGCCCAAAGCCTGGATGCTGGACCACAACCAGCTGCGACCTCTACACTGCTTCCGAATTCCTGACCCACAGAAACTGAGGTAAGAATACATACTTGTTATTTTAAGTCACTAAGTTTTGGGGGTAATTTGTTACGAAGCAAAAGATAAAATAACTATTACATCACCTACTTAACTCTTATAATGGAGGGTCAGAATTTTTTCCTCTTCCACTTTATCTTTCAATATAATTATGTCAAATTTTGGTTAAATTAATATTAAGAGTTACATTCTTAGGTTTACGTAAATATTATTTGTAGCCAAGCCATGATGTTATGCTATGGTAACATTTCATTTCTTGTGTAATATTTATTTTCCCTGGAGATGATAAAACAGTTTACAACTCCCTGTACTTTTTTAACATTTTAAAAAGTATACTTTAGTAAAGTGCACATTTTAAACTTATTCTCCACAACTAGGTAAGCTTGTGGAGAAGCTGACCAAGACACATAAATTATGAGATCTAAGTGTCCATCTAAATTTTCTATACAGTTCTCTTGTTTACAGACTATTTATTAAAGTTGTTCAGTGCACACTTTCTCGTTCGTCGTTCTGGGAGTCCTTCATGGTAAGGACTGTTCTTCTGTCTGATGACAGCCGGCAGCCAGCGCCAGTGATTCCCGCGGACCTCCGCGTTGGATACATGCGGTTTCTTCTTGAGACACGGGTTTCCTTCTGTATTTCCGCGGTCACGTGTTCACTATTTCTGCAGCGTCTGGTGGCGCCGGCGACCCACTTCCCTTAAACTGCCCTGACACTGAAGAAGACTCTGAGGCGGCAGCCCGGCTCTCTCAGACCTTCGGACACGCGGGGTTTCGGGCGGTCTCCTCGGTCAGGGAGCCTCCCTCGGGGAGCGTGTGGCTCGACCGCCCGAACGGCCTGCTGGCAGACGCCGTCTTGCTGCCCACTGGGACCCCCGACAAGGGGCAGCTTCCTGCAACTCCCTCTAAAGTGTTTAATCAGGCACCCTCTTTGTTCTCGAGAAGCCCCACTGGAACTCTGTCCTTCTGGGGGTTCCTTCGCCTCCCCTACACTGGAACCCATTTCTTGGACCCCATTTGTCCTCCTCCTCGGTTATCCCGGTGGGTCTCCTGGCAGAGGGTCCTAAGAAGGAGTGTACTATAAGGTGTTTTTACTCACACCATTTCTGGACCCGAATGTGTGGGGTTTTTTCTTCCCCCTCACACACACTAATTCTCAACCTCCAGACACCAACTGGCATCCTACGATTTAATTCAAACCCGACGCTGACTGCCCAGTGTTAGCGGAGACCCCGCAGGGTAAGGGCTCTGTCCCGCAGGAATGCCCCTGCTCCAGACGCCAACTGCAAGTCTGGGCCATTCATACTTCCGACCGATCGGCTGTAAAGTTGGTGGTGGGGTTGCCCACAACCCACTCCTCAGGTTTAATCATTTGCTGGAATGGCTCACAGAACTCAGGGAAAACAGTTTACTCGTTGTTACCGGTTTCTTGTAAAGGAGACAAAAGAACAGCCAGATGAAGAGGCAGACAGGGCAGGGTCTGGAAGGGCCCGACAGACAGGGCAGGGTCTGGAAGGTCCCGAGCGCAGGAGCCTCTGTCCCTGGGGAACTGGGGTGCGCTGCTTCCTTGCGTGTCCACCAACCTGGAAGCCCTGTGAACCGCACTGTTTAGAAGGTTTGTGGAGGTTCCATTACTTAGGCATGACTGATTAAGTCAATGGTCACTAGTACTTAGCTCAATCTCCTGCCTCTCCCTTACCCTCAAGAGGCAGAGGGGTTGCTGGGCTGAAAGTTTCAACCCTCTAATCCCTCCGTTGGTTTCCCTGGCAACCAGCCCCCACCCACCCTGAAGCTGTGCAGCTGCCCACAGTTAGCTCATTAGCATAAACTCAGCTCTGGTGGACTGTTCCCCTCACCCCTGTCACTCAGAACGAAGACCAAACATTAACAAAAGATGCCCTGATTATCCCTGCCACTCAGGAAGTTACAAGAGTTTTAGGAGCTCTGGACTAGTAACGAGAGACAAAGACCAAATATTTATTTCTTACATCACAGTATCAAAGGACACGTGCACAGTATGTCTGAAAATGTCTACTACCCTTCAGCTCCGGTGATAGTTTAGCTGTCTATAAAATTCTAAGTTGGGAATAAATATTTTTTATTTTGAGGATATTGTTCCATTGTCTTCTTGTTGTGCCCCTTTGAATTCTAAATGTGTGACTGTTCTTTCTAGAAGCTTTTAGGACTTTCTCTTTATTCTTGGAGTTCTGAAATCTGACACGGGCTGTATCTTGGTATTGGTTTCCTTCCACTGAGTATACTTAATCATTATTTAGTTCTGGGAATGTCTTTTCATATCATTTCTTTGATAATTTCTTCCTCTCTATTGTCTGTTTCTTTTTGTCTGTTCCTAAATTTTCATTGGTCAGGTGCTAGACCTCTTGAGATGATCCTCTAATTTTTTTTTGTTTTTTAATCAGTTCTTCCCTATTTTTCTTTCTCATTGGGTCCGTGAATGTTCTATGTTCCAAGAATGTTCTTCCAATTTACTTTCCACTTTTCTGTGTTGTAACTTTTTATACTGGCTATCACATTTTTAATTTTTTAAAAATATTTGATCATTGTTCCTATCTTTTTTTTAAGATTTTATTTATTTATTTTTAGAGAGGGAAGGGAGGGAGATAGAGAGAGAGAGAAACATCAATGTGTGGTTGCTGGGGATCATGGCCTGCAATCCAGGCATGTACCCTGACTGGGAATCGAACCTGCGACACCTTGGTTCGCAGCCTGTGCTCAATCCACTGAGCTATGCCAGCCAGGGCACATTTTTAATTTTTAAGAGGTCTTTCTTATTTTCTGAAGGTTCCCTTCTTTAAAAAAAAAAAAAAGAAGAAGAAGCCCTGGCTGGCATAGCTCAGTGGATTGAGCGCGGGCTGCGAACCAAAGTGTTGCAGGTTCAATTCCCAGTCAGGGCTCATGCCTGGGTTGGAGGCCATGGCCCCCAGCAACCGCACATTGATGTTTCTCTCTCTCCCTCCCTTCACTCTCTAAAAATAAATAAAATTTTAAAAAGCCTGTCCTAATTTCTTAAAAACAACAACAACAACAACAAAACATTTACTTAAAAAAAAAAAGGCAAGCTTGTTCAGCTCTGACAGGTGTGGCTCGGTTGGGCATTCCGGTTGGGGCACATGCCTGGGTTACGGGGTCAGTTCCCCTAAGTTTCTCTTGCATCAGTGTTTCTCTCCCACTCTTTCCCCCTCCCTTCCCCTCTCTAAAAATAAATCTTAAAAAAATTTTTTTTTCTCCTCCTCCTTGCTTTTACTGTTTCCTCAGTTCTTATCTCCTTTTGTTTTGGTCTCTGTCTTTCATGTT